CTTTGAGACATTAAACTTAGGAACTGTCCCCAGTTATAGTAAACGTGACAAGGGTAAAAACAAAGCTGCAGTGTCTACACACATATTTGTTGAATGGTATAAAACAAGCTCTAAAATATCTTTAAAAAGAAAATTAATCAGAAGTCCTAATTTATACTTTTCATACAAGCTTATTTTAGAAATATTTATAACAATTATTTGACATTTAAAACAAAACTGAGTTTAAAAATATGTTTTAACCATATTCATACTCGTCCAGGCAATTGCTAAGACACCCGTCCTGAACAAGTTTAGTGATAATTGAGGCGAACATGTAACCAGTAGAGTGCTAACAAGATAAATGTGCACGAACGCAAGACCGAGGACAACACATGACCAAATTTATGATCCTTAAGTCAGCTCAGGAGAGCTCAAAGACATAAAAATCAATGTTCTTTTATGTGTAAGCACATTCATGATAGGTTGTACTTATTCATTTATATGCCGATTATTTAATACAAATTGTACTACGCTGCAGTATATCTTTATTGTTATGTAATATTTTAATGTATTATTTCTGACTTTTTTTGGAATTCAGCGTTAGAAAGCTCCCAATTTTTGTTAGTCGTTTTATGAGAAGCTTTAGAGAAGTTTTCTGTCACAATGTTTCTACTTTCGTATGGTTTGTAAATGAATTAAAACACCAATTTAATCTTGAACAATTCTTGCATATATAGAAATACATTAATAAAAGCGATGTTGAAATATATGTGTTTATCTAAGGCTATAGCTATACATTTTATTTAATGTTTTTAGCCTTCAGATAAATCCAATATGTAACAAAACATTTGTATTAATATTAAGAATATCACCGTTTATTGACATAGATGTTATCTTACCTTGCTTAACGAGGCAATATTCATATAAAATATGGAAAAATGATATCGGTTAATGGATATTTTTTTAATTTTTTAAATTTTTGGACAAGATCATTTGCCATATACCTATAAATTATACAGTAGAAAAAGAGGAATTGCTAATGCCTAAATAATCATTTTCACATTTAAGATGCAGTATATATCCAGCAAATGACAAATATGTCAACAAATGTAATTAATTTGTCTTATTAATTTTTTATAGACATGTACCTTTCACCACTGATTTTAGTGTTCTGTGTGATAACTAGTCAGTCATTTGCGAAAATGTAATAACCGGTTATTTTTAAGGTAAGCCGGATAGGTAGACCAACTGCAAAATTATGACCATAAATGTGGTCTAATTGGTACAATAAAATCTTTGAAAATGGATAATCAAACAAAGGGGGAAATATCACATTCACTTATATTACGCAATACAAATCTTGTCTATTTTTAAAAGCAATAATAAATGAAGTCAAATTATGAATAAAATCATCGTATCAATTCTTGTATAATGTAAACGTTACGTGAAAAAATTCCGAAATGAAACATTTTTTTAAAGACGTCGACTGAAAAAGAAATCTACCAATAAGATAAAAATGTTCTCAGTGCATGCTGCTTAATCTACCATAAATGCTTGTTGGTTATTATACACCTTAAGGAAATAAAACTAATGGATTAGTTTATTTCAAATATTTTTAAATTCGCTTTATTCAACTATTTTTAGAAATCTAACGAAAAACCAAACAGCAACAACAACATCAACATCATCGTCGGATACCCACGGCCGAATCATTAACATTTATCAGCCGTGGGATTTTTTGCCGATATTCAGTCGTTTAGAGGTGTGTCAAAGGTAGCTATTTCATTGGCTGCCTCACGATTTCATGAGGCGATAAAAACCAACCAAAACGCTCGTTCTGTGCGACGTTCGGCATTACAGACAATATCATGAGTTAAATTTCAACATCGAAAAATTAAACGATTTCCAGCAAGAAAGTATAGATAGTTTACTTTTACAGCGTGATGTTTTCCTTTCTGATTGATATTTGCTTGCAGAAAAACTGCTTTGGCGATAGTTTATGCCATTGACGTACAACAGTTTTCAACCGTGGGCGCTGCCATTTTGTTTTTTATTGTTTTTTACCTCCGCCGTTGAAGAATATAGATCTGTTAAACGCGATGTCATTGGTAGATATTTTACGCACCTGTTGCTGTATATCGACGCAAATCGATTCATTTTACCCACGGTTGATTGCATGTTATGTGACATGTTTATCAATCGTGGGTATCCGACGATGCATCAACATGTAACTTTATATGTTTAAAGTTACGTTTGATGCATATTATATAAGGTATACAATCATGAACAATATATAATAACCATTACGTATTTTCATCTTGAATAAAGCGCAAACACATAACCGTAATTAAACTTCTACTTTTATTCATACGAAGAACATAATGTGAATTCAAACGTTTCTTAGTTCTTAAAATCCGTCATTTTATGCAACTTGCATAAATTACGATTTTTCAGAATATTGTCATTATTTAAAACATAATTTCTTATTATGTTTAAGTTTATGTTTAAATAAATTGTTATATGATGAGCTACATGCTAGTCTTAAATAAGTTTCGGTCTATTCTGTTCTATGAAAGTAATCTTATTTAAATATTATTTGAAAAATGGGATTCCTTCGTTGATCGGAATAGCAATTTTCAATGAAAAACAGAAATAAAACAATTGTAGTTGTTCTGATTATACGTTTTTGTTTGAATATTCATGTTTAATACATTTAATGGGATATTCAACAAGATAATGCATTTATTTTTTCGAGAGAATTAGATTAAACAGAACAGTAAATGTATTTTCAGACTTGAGTATTACAGCTTATCACTCACAGCCACTGATGATTACGGACCCTGAACTGCACCAATAGGAATTAGCTTTTTATTACTTTTCTTGATGGTAAAAGTCATTTATTAAATAAACACCATTTTTACAAAATCAACAACAGTGACGCATATGTCCAAACAACTAAAATAGCGAAATACAGAATCCCCAAAGAAGCCCAACACGACAAAATTGAAAATGTTGCAGGCTCTGTTTGATTGAGCCTGTTCATGGACGGTACTGGAAAGTGTAAGTTACCACCACGCCCCCTAGCACCGGCAATGCTTATGTGTAAGGGATCTAATGAGTCTTTAATCTATAGCATCTTTAAAGTTTTAAAATAGGTAACGTTTTAATGGCGTAATTTTTGGCTTTAACTTTTTTGATACATATGAACTCGAGAGTCTGACTTTTAACCTTAAGCAGGTTACACAATCAAACTAAAATAAATTCTGTATACATTTATGTTGTATTATTGAATACTTCTGTGGCAAATATTTAATAGTTAATTCCGCTAGCCAGGCATGTCTTTGTGACCCTCAGACCAATGTGGAAGAACAAGAATATCAGCCTAAAAACTAAGCTGAGCATCTTTGATACCAATGTCAAATCAGTTCTTTTGTATGGATTAGAAACCTGGAACCAAATTAAGAACATCGAGCAGGACCTGTAGGTATTCTTCACACAAATGCCTCCGACAGATCCGCCAGTCACCGATCAAAACATCATCAAAAAACGAAATTGGCATTGGATATTACACATTCTGAGGCGACCCAAAAGCAAAATCATAAGGCAAGCTCTGGACGGTAATCCTCAAGGCATAAGAAGAAGAGGTATACCAACAACCACCTGGAGACGAACTATAGACGCTGAGCTGAAAAGTTGCAACATACCTGGACAGAAACAAAAGCAGCAGCGATGAACCGGCCTAGATAGAGAGTTGCTGTAGATGCCCTTTGCCCCACAAGAAAATTACATGATTAAGTTAGGTAAGGTTAGTAATGTACATTTAAAACAAACAAGACAAACGTGATTTTAAGCGAATTTTATCTCCCGTCATAACCTAACGAAGAACTGAGAACCATGATTATTTATCAACAAAATAGAGAAAATATGATTCTCAAAGAAAACCCAAAACGCAAAATTGAAAGTGTTGCAGGCTCTTTTTGATTAAGTCTGTTCATGGATGGTACTAATAAGTACAAACTATCTTCCAGGTCCGCTAGGCCCGGCTTTAGCAGAATTCAACATTTAAACATGAAATAGTAATTTTTTGAATTTAGAAACATCCGCAGATGTATTGATTTGCGGTCATCATGATTTAAATATATTATTTTTTAAAGAATAATCATAGACTCCGGTAATTCAAGTTGTCGGTAAAACGTAGTAAATAGTTTTTGTAATCAGTACTTATAGCAATACTCTAGCATATGTTGTACTTTTATGTCAATTTATTGTCCTGTGAGCTTTAACATTTTGTCAATATACAGAGAGAAAATAATAACAATCTAATCCGCACTTTGTCGTGAAAAAATAGATGATAAGTGGGAAATCCCTCGAGAACAATAAAATAATGCTGTAACCCTGACAACAGAAACCTCCCAGACACTTATATGACTTATATTACAACGATTAAGAACTGATTAATGTCCAAATAGTTATAAAACTTATTGTGCGGAAACAAATCATTTCCCAACTAACAATTACCGTTGTTCTCACGTCAATAGAGATTCGATGGAAGTATTACTTGTCATAAAAAAGTTTTTGAATCTGAATACACCATGTTCACACATTTTACATAAAACCATCAATATATATCTTCATCTTAAAAGTTAATCAACACAAACACCACATTTACAGACATGATTGTAATCACCCTATTACGAGGGTGAGCGTCAAAGCAATATTTCACAATTGGCAGATTCTAACCTTCATATTGATAGTAACAAATAGAAATATCCTTAAAGTTTAGATAATCGTGCAAATTCATCATTCCAAATAAGTTTACTTTATTACCCAAGGACACTAAGAAAATGTTATACTGTTTAGATTTATAAAGGACACTTTCATTCTGATGAAAGTATTGGATAAAGGTAACGAGCAAAACGCAGTGAATTTTTTTCCGATACTCGAAAGACGCTGTTGTATATTTATTTACAAAATGTATTGGTGTTTCAATAGTTTAAAGTTTCAATGAAAGAAATCGGATGTACTGCTTATGACATTGTTATCTATGATGGAACACAATAAATCATAATCTAATATAAATCTCATTATTAATTTTGATAACATTTAAAGGAATAAAATACCTGTTTATAAAACATGGAAAATATTTCATTAGCTTTATCTATGGAACACTTCAATGACAGCAACAACAATACTGACAACAGTTCGGACATACCGCCGGAGCCGCCGCTCTACATTGTCCTCACGTCTACATTATTGTATGTTCTCATTTTCCTAGTCGGTATCCTAGGAAATATTCTTGTCATCATAGTTATCACGTTCAGCCACTCTATGAAGACAACTGTAAACATGTACTTGATGAACTTATGTGTCGCTGACATACTTGTAATTATTGTGTGTATGCCGACAGCACTTGCAGATATATTTACCAAAGAAGTGTGGTATTTTGGAGAGGCAATGTGTAAGTATTTTATAATGTTTCAAAAGATGTTTTTATACGAGTTGAAAACTTTGGTTGAAAAATATTATACATTATTTTATATACATTTGTAATAACTATAAATAATACAAAAAATGTAAGATTTTTTTTTTCATTTTTACTTCATGATAATAAAGAAAGCCTAAATTTCTTACCAAAGAATCTCAAAAGAATTGAGCATCGATATGCGGTAAAAGTGTTATACTCATTTAAATAAAAATACAACATTAAGATATAGAAATTAAATTTTTTAGTCAATATATCTAAGTATAAAAATATTATTTGTTTGGCTGGGAAGCAGTCGAGTCATATGATTTTGAATAAAAAGCATTATTTACTGCGGAATGAAATGATTTAATTTTCACATCCTCAGTAAAGCTTAAAGCTACATAAAATATTCAAATACATCAGTCATTCCATTGTTTTGTTGCAAAACATTTTTATTGATATTTTCGTCATGATGAAAGACAATGTTTTTTATGCTTTTGAATGAAAAGTGAAAATTATCAAGATATAATTTAACACTTTACAATGACGGAACTACTTTTAAAGATTTCCCTATGTGGTTCCTCAATTTTATTTTTGCTGACAATGCTGACATTGTTAGCGTTGTTTAGATAAAAACAAAGCTAAAGGTTAATAAATAACTTTAATTTCAAAAGGAATAAAAAAACTTACTTCAATTCATTCAAATTACCGATCTCCAAATATCGTCTCTAAATGTTTTGTTTCATTTCTACAGTCTAAAAAATACACTTCTTTCTGTAACAATCCTCAAATAAGTTTGCTTTCTAATAAAAAGATGTATGATTTACAAATCCAAATGGTATCCCTCTGAATCAAACACAATTATTTTTCTCCCATAATTTTTTTCCTCCCGTGAAATACACAACTTAAAAAATATGACGGCCGCTTGTAGTCTAATATAAATTCGCCGTAAATAGCGGAAAAAAGTTCGGATGGTGTGGCTTTTTATTCTACTAGAATTGTTGTTTTTATTATTAAATCATTCATATTTAAAAGAAAATATAGTCAACGCCATTTAACGTTGATTGTACTTATTTTTCAGCTCAAATGAAAATCGACTATAAAAGAGTCTACCAGTGGGGAATACCAGTGGGGAAAACAGATTTTATAATTATAGTTATTTTAAGGAATTTTCATTTAAACTGTTTTTAAGCATTAGATAAAAAATGTGTTTGTTTGTTGTGTAAGATGTAATTTTATTTCATCTCGTGAACTTTAAAGACAGTATTCTCACTCATGGCTCCGCCACTTGTGAGAATACTGTTTTTAATTTCATCTTACGCACAAACAAACAAGTATCCTCTATTTCTTATATCCGGCGTTTACAAATAATGGACTTCACAGCTGTCTTCATGTAACAAGAGATTAGTTCACCGATACTAAATATGGTGAAATTAGGCTAATATTAAATGTTTTATTCATCTAAACAGGCATCGGCGTAGAAATTGTTGCTTTGCATTGTCATAAAACATCTGAATGGTTCTATCAATCAATTTACCTTTAAAAATTAGCAAACAAGTGCGCTTTGAAGAAATTTAAATAAATATATATTTCTTTTAAGGTTTTTAATGCAGTAAAAGCGAATTTGCCTCCACAACACAATGAAACTTTGCAAGATATCACTATCCGCTTAGAAATGTCAACATGTTAATTTTTGCGTTCTATAATCGTGCCTATTTTTATTTTTAATTAAAAGTAGAAAATAAAGCAAAATAAACTCTAGGTTTTTTAACCATACAAATACTAAATAAAATCACAATCATACCAGGTTTAATTCTTAACTTTTTGAAATATCTGAAACTTAAAGATTTATGTTTATGCGCTCAAACTTATTGATCAATTGTTGATACTTTGCTTATTTAAAATTTATATATCATTAAATCGGTACATAATTAATAAATTGATGAACAAATACGAGTGTTAGCATTGTCTTGATATAAGTAAGCTTTTCCTATGACAGCGGGCCCGTCTTGTTAAAAAACGAGAATTAGTAAGGGCATAGTGGAATTTCCAGGTTGCAACGCTTCCCCATTACTTTCAATTTTCTTAACTGCGTAGCTCTTCAAGGTATGATATTTAACTGGACGCTTCTTAAGGTATGCAGTCCACAGCTGTGGCGTTATTTGCGACCATTTGTTCGGAGCTATTTTATGTTTCGTGAAATCTTGCATGTACATTACAGATATCTTCCTTCTAATAGATAAGTACTAAATAAAACTAAAGATAATACAAAGAAAAAAAAACTCAACAGCGTGTAAAAGGTTCAGTATGATTACCTTCAACAACTTTGTGATTGACAAAATTTCATTTATATCAACACCGATATTATTTAAAAAAAACACCACTGTCCCTTGTGAAAAGCCTCGTGAGACTTAATTTGCGTTCATTGAACGCCGCCTTTCCTTGTTGATCTTGTTTATCATATATTTTACATTAGACAGTCAATAGAAGTATTCAGTACATAATGTAAATCTCAACATAATAATGATTATAAAGATAAAATCAGACTATTAAAGCATGATTTATCCTACATAATGTACATCTCAACATATTAATGATTATAAAGATAAAGTCAAACTATTAAAGCATTAGCAACTAGATAACAAAAGCTTATAAATATTATAAAATTGATATAAATATGTCATGTTAAAGTGTCATAGGTGACAGTATCTCTATACTAGATCACGCATATAATATGAGATGAATATATTGACTATATGATTTGTTTGTAATGATTAGGAAAATAAGTGATACCATGCTATTATTGTAATTTTACAAGGTGAAGAAAATATATACGGAAGAGCATTAGTGCCAGGTGTATGCTTTTTATTAACTCGACATTTCGAGTTACTAACTCGAAATTTCGACTTACTAACCCGAAATTTCGACTTATTAACTCGAAATTTCGACTTTTTAACTCGAAATTTCGACTTATTTACATTACAAGAATGGCCAAAGTAATTAGTTAGATGATATAAGATATAGTTGGGAGTGCCGTTGAGCGATGGAGATGGAGGTACGGGTGCCTGGACAAAAACTATTGAAATGAAACTTAAACTTAGTAATGGCATGTACACACACGACCTAAAAAACACAAGGCTTCCTTTAATTTGTACGTTCAGGCGTTCTTCACACGTTGTATTGTATCCCATCTGTTCGAACATATCTTTACGCTAATCATATTCTTCTCATCCCTGTGAATAAAACGATCCTATACTTCACGTGTGGGACATCTGAGGAAAGTATCGCGGCGTGGCCAAAATAGGGCGTGCTGAGGCCTTTGTCAAAATTGTTGGACTGACTATATTTCTTGTAAAATCGGATGCTTTTATATTATTCCAATCATATATATAACAACAAGTTCCACTTTTATCAACTTTTATCGACACAATATGAATCAAAGTATTAGTAAATAATGAATAATGTTACAAAAACATTATTAGTAAAAAGAAACGTGACAGACTAACTATATATATGTATACACGCCATTTAAAACTTATTTAACACATGATATTGCACAGTTTACAATAGGGTAGGTTTTGGACTTGTTGTTTCTCCACATGATGGTGGTATGTGTGCTTAAGAAAAAGAAACATCCGGTTAACACGGAAATGTGGAAAGTGTGATTTTACACCCCCCCCTTCCACAATAAGCGAGACATATGGACAATTTGACCCTATTAAATTGCTCTGTCAAATAAATGTTAAAGGTGCTCTATCAATGTGCAACAGCTACACACTAAAGAAAGAATCTTGAATTCAATCCATGCTTTCACCGTCAACCAATGAAAGTCGTGCAATGTAAGTCGAAATTTCGAGTTACTAAGTCGAAATTTCGAGTTACTAAGTCGAAATTTCGAGTTACTAAGTCGAAATTTCGAGTTTTAAGTCGAAATTTCGAGATAAGTAACTCGAAATTTCGTGTTAGTATGTCGAAATTTCGAGTAAATAAGTCGAAATTTCGGGTTAGTAAGTCCAAAATTCGAGTTACTAAGTCGAAATTTTGAGATAAGTAACTCGAAATTTCGAGTAAGTAAGTCGAAATTTCGAGTTAGTAACTCGAAATTTCGAGATAAGTAAGTCGAAATTTCGAGTAAGTAACTCGAAATTTCGAATTAATAAAAAACATACACTTGGCACTAATGCTCTTCCGTAAATATAAGCTAGAAGCTTGTCGTGTTGTTTAATAATAATTCAGCAAAACAGAGTCGTAACGTTAACTGTGTAGCCTAGACATCAATGTCATATGCAAAACAAATTATTATTCTTCATTGAAAACGAAATCGAAATAATAGAATGATATTTTAGCTTGATTTGATAAGTATACACATATCAAAATTATGCAATAAACTTATATAATTTAAAGTTAAAATGAGAATAAGCTATTTAAAAAGCCCGTTTAAATGGACGGGAATTTCTTTATATAGCAGTTGCAAGCGGACATATATCATTATGATCATGAATATTTGAAAGATCATTCATAACATGATTTTAAGAACAAAGAAAACCCTAGATTATTTTAATTAGGTTTATAAATATTACACTGATAAATAACTCATGATACATATGTTAGGATAAACTGTCCTAGTATATGTGGAATAAAGATCAACACGACAAAGGCAACGTTCAAAGGACACAGCCCCCGACACACATAGGACACCCAGAAGGCACCAAACCGAAACCTGGAGTGGACATAAACCTAAGTTTATGTAGAACTCGACAGGAGGAATTAATCGTTTAATATATAAGACCAAGTATTTCAAATATCAAAATCGCTTTATAAAAAAGAGTTAAAAGAATGAATAAGAAAAAAAAACAACAAATTTTAAGGAGATGATAACTATGGAAATAAGGATACAAGATTTATAAACCTTTTCATATTATTATGATCTGGGAGTTAGAGGTACATCCTACAAGTAATGAATAAGTTGGAGTAAAACATACCAATTTCTCAAAAAAAAATCTAAGTTCAAGGGGGACATAATTCTGGAAAAAGTCTTGCTAAGGTATTCAAACTTTTCACAAATGATTTGAGTGATAGTGATAATAAGAAACATATATATGAAGTTTGAAGAAGATACATTAGGAAATAAAGAAGTAATTAAAAAAACAAAAAACATTGTTTCATGTGAGTTCAAGGAGGCAATTCTGATTATGTTTGTGCCGGAGTTAAAACCTTGTCACATATGATGTGGTTGATGACCAGAAATTTATGTTTGAAGTTTGAAATAAATACCTTAAGAAATAAAGATTTTATAATAAAAAGCGTAAAAACTAGAATAAGAAACGAGGCTACCGACGTTTGTAAAGTATGACATCTCTTAATATACTCCCTATAGTCCAGATTAAAATGATGTTAATAGTTTCCATACTACCATGTATCCATATTTTAAGTTTCATTAGAAATCAGCTATTGTTTTACTAATCACAAATATTTTAATATTTGCCATGTTTTAAGTCTATTTGTTGTCATGGTAACCAATTTTGTGTTCAAAATAGGTGTAAAGAAAAAAGACATGCATAATTTCCAGACTACCATCCACCCATATTTCAAGTTTCATAACTTTTGCCTTATTACTGGATCCAGTTTATGTGAAAATGTTGTCATATTTTCAGTCTATTTGTTGCCAAAGCAACCGGAATTTTCAACGTAGGAGGAAAAGAAAAAAACGTGCATAATCTACATACCGCCATGTATTTCATAAAATATTTTTAGTACTTTTTGCGTTATCGCGGGATCCAGTTTTGTGGACTGACGGAATGACAGACAGACGGTAGGAGACTAAAAAGGCCTTCGTAAAAGTTCTTCATTGGTGGAACATTTGAAAATCAGTTATTTCAAAATGCATTATATCAGTTAACAACCTAGAAGAAGAACTATTAATCAGCTTTGTTGTTTTACGTTTTAAACCGACCAGTTACCTTCTTTTTTACAGGATGGTTGTTTCTTTATAACGTTGTAATGAATTACATGTACTAGTAAAATCTTCTAGTGATAGCAATGGTTTCCTTACTTTGAGCAGACTAATTCTTATTAAATAATTGTAAGGAGATTTCGCCCTAGCAAAAACAATAAAGAAAAGAATGAACTCCTATAAACAAGAAGTTAGAAAGTTAACATATTAGATTTATTGACCTAGTAGTTGTACATTATTTGTTAGGGTAGTTTTTCGGCACAGCAAGACAGTTTAGATCATATGGCGTCGAAACAGAAAAGATGAATTTGGCTAACCTCGGGGGTAACAATCTTCAAAGCAGCATCAGGGGTCAAAACTATCCCACTGCTGGAGCTAAGATATGCATAGACTCCAGTTATTCAATTCCATTTAGTCGCCTCACTCACGGGCTGTAATTCTGAAACATTAATGGCAATTTCCGAGACATTTCATTTTGAAGATATATGAATTAAATTTTTCACATAAACCGCTACGCAGGAGTGTAATAAAGCTATTTAATTAAAATAATATTACACTAGTGTAATAACACTTTGACATGACGCCATTTGCATTATATACACATATAGCGTAAAAGCGCGCTGGTGTAAGCGTTACACTATGAACGCATCAATAAAAATGACTCTAAATTTATTGAACCCGTTGAATAAAACAATATTATGCTCGCCAGAGGCTTGCATAATAGGTTTTGAGAAAACAGAATCCCTTAAGAAAGCCAAACACGGAAAAATTGAAAAGGTTCGGTTTGATTGCGCCTGTTCACGGGCGGTACTGGAAAGTGCGTGTTACTGTCCACGCCCCTTAGCACCGTCTTAAGCAGAATTCAACAATTAAATACTAAAATGGTGATATTTTGATTTTAGAAACATCCGCAGATGTGTTCATACCGCGGTAAACATGGAACCTTCAATGTGACACATTAGTGCCATACCATGAAAGGCGGCGTATGGTCCCCAATTAAAAAAATGCGTGTGCCCTAGACGAGAAAACAATGGGCGGAACTAAATAATAGGTAATTTTGAAAGAGGATCTGAGGTTATGAGCCTTCATATCACAGATAAGACGTCAAAAGACAATTTGAAAAGCAGGCAACTTATCCTTAAGCTGATTAAACAGTATTCAAGTAGGAATAGTGGAACCACCCAAGTAGAAAAAAGCCAAATAGAAGAAATTAAAAATACCCTTAACACATACACAACAACTCGTTCAATAAATTAAGTATTAAACCTACACTCATTCAATATCCTCTATAACGTTTATGTATTGAGGTGTACTAAAAAACTTTGTTAAAATAATTTTTCAACTAAAAACAGTTGGCATTGATGTTGTAAAACCTATGGTATAACAAGACAAATCCGTATAAATGCAATCGCAGTCTGTTTTTCTAACATTAAAGGGGAATTAGAATTGTTATTCTGTGACAGCAAAATAGATAAAATAACAAACATTTAATTGATTTGTCATTGACTGTAATTGAACATGCCAATAGGCGATGTCATTTTATATTATTAAGCATTTTTTCCTGCTTCAAAACCTGAACATGATTTTAACTTCCTTGTATATCAATAATTAGTTCGAAAAGAGAATTACGTAATTTGATTTAATTTGTTATTTAAGAAAAAAATACTCAACCTACATTTGAAAAGAAACGACGATCAATATTACGTTTAGTGACATTTTTTTTTAATAGGAGTGTGTTAACATTTTAGATTGAATGGAATGAAAAGAAAAAGTTAGGAGAAGTTTAGAGTTCTCTATTTTAGGAGAAAAACCCATTAATTTTAAGGAGAACTACAAGTTATAATAATGGTTTCACCAATTATAAGTGTGACAGATTCATTAAATAAAACCTCCGTCACACTGACATGGGGTTATTACGGTGACAATAAGCGGTACTTGTCAATAATAAAGTACCTGATTTTTTTTCTCTTTCTTTTTACAAAATTGCAAGTTTCAGCTATCCGTCACACTGACGTCCTGTTTTGTACGTTTTCGCACGTTTATAGAGCATATAGCATATACTGCATTTGCACAATGTTCTTAAATCGTTCCAGTGGCGTCCTTGCAGTGTTGATATGCCACCTTACTGAAACTTAATAACTTTTAGAGTTCTTGTAAAACAATTCTACAACATCCCGGAAACGTCTAAGAACTGCATTGTTGCACTATAAACGCACTTTTGTTGCTACTTACATGACATACAATTTATGTGCGTTTACAAATGGCGATTGCTCGTCACGTTCAGGACGTGTTTGGTGTACGAGGATTGATCATAAAATTCTTTGCCCGATGTCCCGCAAGGAAATTTATGAAATAGATAAATACAAACTCCCTTAAGAAAGCCCAACACGACAAAATTGAAAAAAAGTTGCAGGCTCGGTTTGATTGAACCTGTTCATGGACGGTATTGAAAGTGCAAGTTACTGTCCACGCCCCCTAGCACCGACTTAAGCCCAATGAGTTCAATTATGTTATATTTTCGATCCTTGAAGATCGTTCAGCACAACATTATTGTTGTGTATACATGTTATGTGGTACTTTAAGTTTCTTCTATTTGGCCTTTTTCAACTTGGGTGGTTCCAGTATTCCTACTTGAATACTGTATAGTCACCCTTAGGATATGTTGCCTGCTTTTTAAATTTGTCTATTGTCGTCTTGTCTGTGATACGCAGGTTTCATAACCTCAGATCCCCTTTCAAAATTCCATTTTATTCAGTTCCGCCCATTGTTTTTTTTTTTCGTTTAGGGCACAAGCATTCTTTTACTTGGGGACCGTACGCCGATTTTCATGGAATGACACAACTGTGCCACATTGAATGTTCCATGACAACCGCCGTATGAACACATCTGTGGATGTTTCTAAATTAAAAATTCAACATTTTTGTGTTTAAATGTTGAATTTTGCATAAGCCCGTTCTAGGGGGCGTGGACGGTAACACTTGCAATTTCCAGTACCGTCCATGAACAGGCTCAATCAAAACGAGCCTGTAACATTTTACAATTTGGCCGTGTTGTGCTTTCTTTAAGGATTCTGTTTTTCACTATTTTATGGATTTCCTTTCATACAGAGGTAATGACGGCTCTGATTTTAACTTTATCCATTTGGTCTAAATGACACTCCCGTGTGTTGTATTCAAAGGCAGCGCTGCCTTTCCTTGTTGATCTTATTTAATATAATTTATGTTACTTAATCTGTGATAAACCACGTGTAACTCGGTCAGGAATCTCCAATAATATATCGGTACCGACGTATCGTGTGTAAATGTCAGTGTAGTGGCTAGAAGTATATCGGGCCGAGAACTTTTTGATCATACTTCTTTTTATCATACCTCGTAGTTATTTATTTTAGAACGATATTGTATAGAATGTAAAGGCAAATTTGGCTACATGTTTTTGCCCATGACGCAGTAGTATTGACATGTTACATTCTGTCACTGTTAATCACAGCAGTGTGGCGCTTATGTTGGCACGACGTAAAAGCATCTCCACTACCAACAACAACATTGACAAAGTTTATAAAACACACCTGTCAATATTTACTTTAATCTTCATTTTAGGTAAAGCAGTACCCTTTCTGGAGCATGTAGTGGCTAATGCGTCAGTGTTGACAATTCTTGCTATAAGTATAGAAAGATACAGAGTTGTATGTTATCCTCTAGAGGTAAGGTGGAGTTTTCTCCGCAGGGAATAGCTCAGAATACTTATTTTTAATGATATTTGATATGAAATAATAGACTTATATTTTGTTAATACAGCATTCCAATTATAGCATCAATACCAATTGAAGATTGTAATGAATAATTGATGAGCCAGTATGAGATTTCAAAATCCTTTTTTTAGTTAATTACTTTCGGTGAGAAAAACAACATTAAAAAGTTAAATTGTATAAATATGGAAGTAAATCATTACAGATACTAATTGGAACGAGGAAAGAGACACGTGGTGTGGCATTCAGAATTAAAACCGAATATAAGATTTTTTGTTTAAATTACGATTTGCTTCGGAATCCAATGAATAGACGAATTACACTCGATTGTTTTATTGGTAATCGAAATTTAGAAATGTACATTTTTATGTGTCTGTTTTTTTGTCTGAACAATGAATCAGTCTTACATGATTATATATTTTCTCAGTAAATCACTTCTTACAGGTAAGAAATGAAGAAATATTCAGAGTATGGAAAGTTGTCGCCGTGATCTGGGTGCTATCAGTTGGATTCAGTTTACCTTGGTTGTCTATTCCAATTGTTAAGAATTCACAATTTTTAGATGGAACGCCAATACAGGTAAATGGAATGCATGTATATTAAACTGCAATTCGGAATGATAGATAGGTTATCAATTGATAAAATACTAACGTAATAACAAAAATTTGAATCTAACAAAATACAATCAAAGAACTGGATGAAACTTGTCTTGATATTATATTAACTGTTTAAGTAAATTGTTTATCAATTGATTCATTTTTGGAATGAAAGTAAAGTTTAAAAAAATAAAGAAACCAATTACACTGTATAAGGAAATATTTTGTTTGAATCATACTTAATGTCATCGTCGGATACCCTTGGCCGAACCATTTACATTTATATTGATTACATGTTGTTCAACCGTGAGTATCCGAAGATGACTTCGTTAATCATACTTATTTATCATCATAACACATGTATTCCATAAAACTACATGTCTCTTTATTACAAAAACGTGTATACATATAATCTTTCTTAAGTTATTTTTTTCACCTAAATTTATTTTTTCTTTCGGAGTTTATTACATTAAGCTACAATAACTCCATCATTGGGTTTCATTGATTTTGTCATTGAGTGTCGTTTTATTGTGTACTTGTTGTTAACATACATCCTTGAAAACTTGTACTCGGAAATGTATGACATTAGTACCGGATATTGACTTGAGACAAATTACTTGATATTTTTATGAATTACGTCAATCGGAATAAACGAATAGTTATAAATAATCGGAACTATTTATTTGATGATAACCTTTTAGCACTCTTAAAGAGAACAATTTTGAAGCGATAACAATTTTGAAGGATAACTATTATGCCATTTGTTATCACAATTGTTAAATATGGCATTGTAATAATCTTTACTAAAATAAATAAGGTAATGAATTAATCTTGTACATAGTTTACATTTTTATACTTTTCACTCTGTTTTCGTGGGAATTTTCCTAATTAATATGAATACATTTATGTACTATAATTGGGTCACTATATGATCAATTGGGAATAATCTTGCTGACAGTAAATACTCTGCACGCAAATGACTCATGTGAAACAATGGGAGAAAAACTTGTGACGTTTTATGGCTACAAGTAAACAATATGGAGGTATATAATCATAAATAAAATGGAGAAACAAAAAGCTTTTGAAAGTGAAATGAATATGTATTTGCGGAGACTGTGAAGACATACTAAAATAAAAAAATATTGACTGAGCGCATTTACGTATACAAGCTCATTTACTTGGCAACTGGACTTTTCCAAATATATATTGATATAAAATGATTTATTTTCACGACATTTCATAAAAAATATTTCGACGACAATCATAGCTTGAACTTTGTTAAGAATATAATTATACATACAGTGATTTGTTCTTAAATAGAAGGTCTGTTATTTAATAAATGATAACGCTGATAGTATTTAGACATAATCACAAAGCATGAACGAATTATGCATGGGAGTTGTTGGCGATACATGATCCGCTATAACATATATTTATAAGGCAGATGATAAAGTGTTCTAGAATAAAATGTTATTATAATTCATCAGATAAAAGATCATTCTAAATCAACTAGCACTTTATCGATGATGTGTTCATGCAAAAGTTTATTAGAAAAAAATTAAACATTTCTATTGTGCTATCAATATTTTAACTATTAACGGATTTTGTTTGTTTGTTTCATTTTACGCCTTTTCCCAACAGTATTTCAAAATAAAATGTGGCCAATGCAGATAAATGTATTTTGATATCTATGCGAAAAAAGTGATTCGTTTTGGCTTGTGAATAGGTAACATGAAACAGAAATTGCAAACTATTATGTTTTTATAAGAAATGCAAATGAGATAAATATTTGGTTCGAATAAAACGGCATTTAACAACTAAGAGATCACGTTTGATTGTTTCAATAATTGAATAAACATTTGAACATTCAAACACAGGCGATACGGTCAATATGTTTGAATATGTATTAAACAGAATAAATTCATTTGTTTTAAGGGGGCTTTAACAGACTTAACCTTACCATAACTAAAGATTAAGCCACAGTAATCTTATCTCTGTTATATTTATATTTTCAGGTATGCAGAATCCCTATCATCTATCTGTGGCAGGAAATATTCATCGTAGTACTGGCTTTTCTATTTTTCCTCCTACCGTGCATTACTCTGTTTCTGCTAAATTGCCATCTTTGCAGGGTACTCAACCAAGCCAGTGATTATGAAATGAATATTCATCAGTCTGGGAATGATCGGCGAAAACGCCAAAATCAAGTGGCAAATATTATTGCATCAATAGTCACAGTATTTTTCATATGTCATCTTCCGTTTCGAATTGCAGGACTTTGGTTGTCATTTGCAGACCCTAACACAATAGGACGTCTTGGGTTAGAGCGTTATTTAGGGATTGTGTATTCTACAAGGATCTTGTTTTATTTGAATCATGCATTGAATCCTGTTGTATATAACTTTGTTTCTACAAAGTTCAGATGCGCTTTGAGGGACCTCTTTGCCAATACAATATGCTCGAGAGTTTGTAATCTGATGATAAGTCAAAAACAAAAGGTTGTCACCGCTACTGCTACAACCAAATTAACTGTTAGAAAAAACACAAGTCTGAAAGATCACCAAAACAATTCGCCAGTACATGGTCGCACCACTGTAAACGATAAGGATAGTGAACATCTGCTAGACAAAGAATATAAACTTAAGATAAATTTTGATGATAAACGAGTTGCTATAAAGTTTAATTTTGTACGCCAAGCAGAGGAGGTATAAATCATATTCATTTTGAATGTATGTGTCAATATCATCATTGCAGGAGTTATTGTTTGTAATTATACATATATGTACATTTAGTGAATCATATAATAGTAAGAATAGTTTTACAAAAATGATCATGAACTGTCCATTTATTTCATATTTGAAATAAATATGTACGTTTATCAAACAAAATCTTTGTCATGAAATAAATACTTGTAGCTGTCGTATGTAAAATTTTGTACATTTAAACAAATGTTTTGAAAGGTAGCAAGATTATATCAGAGTTCGGATTAGAATCAAATGAACCAAATGGTCCAAACAAAAAATAGGCCAGCACTAAAGAAACAAGAACAGGTTGAACTGGGTGATGCTCCCCAACTAGGTTTTGGACACAGAAAAGTATATCTTTTTGTAGTTTCAGAGTTATGTCCCAGACAAAGTTCAAACTGTGATAATTCCAAACTTAGACAAGGCAGAGTTACTGTTCTTTGCACTGCACCTCGTCTCAATATGGTGATCATTTCTGTGAAAAAGTTGTAAAATCCGACTTCAAATAAGGAAGTTATGGGCCGACATGACTTTGCTGCAAGGTCATGCTGTAACTTTGACCTTAAAGGTAGCGACCCAAATGTTGCGCGCGACAAGTCATCTGAATATGGTGATCATTTCTGTGAAATAGTTGTAAAATCCGACTTCAAATTACAAAGTAATGGCCCGGACACGAATTCGGGACGTACGTACGTACGGACGGACTGACGGACGGACAACCCGGCGACTATATGCTCCCTCGATTTTTTTCGGGGAGCATAAAAATGTAGCCAATTATCTATTATTCCGATAATAGCAACAGTGATAGGATAACAATTACTGTTGCATATTAAATATAGTATATGACGTATACATTATTAAAATACAAGACGTCATTGTATGACACTAGTACCAGAATAGGCATTGTATTTTAACACTGATTGATAAAACCAAGATATAATATATGTTAATATTTAAGGATGACTTTTGATTAAATATTTCGGAAACTGAACGTTGAAAGGACAACATTCTTTTATCTTCTAAAAATCTTATTTTTTTATCACAGACAAAACCAAGAATTTAAGCAGTTAAAATTAGATTTCAAATATTCAGAATGGGAATACAAATTTTACATGAGATTTAATCAGATTTCAGTCATCTAAAAAGGTAGCAACAAATACAATCAAGGTTTTAAAAAACAGAAGGACAAAAATATTAATGTGTGTATTTTTCATTTTAACCCTAATTACGAGCAACTCAAAAACATTCGTTTATACAAAAGTAAACACAGTATAAGTATAAAAGTATATCATTCCGTAGCTTATCTAATAACATTAAAATGGATACAAACATCATATTATTATTGATGTAAAAACAATAGTTAGGGCCAGCGCGTTTTCTCCGAAAACGAAAAGCGTCAAGTTCAACAGTACGGTGGTGACATTTCGGCAGTACGATGGTTACAATGTGACAGCTCGACATTTTCCATGTACATATTTTATGCACATGCTTAACATGAAGACGACAGGACGATGTTGACTATACGGTAGTACGATGGTGACAGTACGACAGTACGTCATTTCAATGGTGCCTATACGGTAGTACGATGGAGACGGTACGACGCTATGACAGTACAATCGTGACTATATTGTAGTACGATGGTGATAGAACGACAGTACAATGGTGGCTATACGGTAGAACGATAGTGACGGTACGCCAGTACGACAGTATAATGGTGACTTTACGGTAGTACGATGATGACGGTATGACAGTTCCACAGTACAATGGTGACTATACGGTAGTACGATAGTGACGGTACGCTAGTACAACAGTTCAATGGTGACTATACGGTAGTACGATTGTAACAGTCCCACAGTACGATGGTAACTATACGGTATTACAATGGTGACGGTACGATGGCGACAGTATATATACGATGATGACAATTCGATATTGACAGTAAGACAGAACCATGGCGAATCATGATATTACAATGGTGATAGTCAATCGTACTACTGTCACCATCGTACTGTCACCATCGTGTCGTCCTGTCACCATCGTACTTTTGTGCTTCGCGCCTAATGTTTTTAGACAAAACGCGCTTATCCTATCGGACCACCGTACGGAACTTTTTAAAGTTTAAGTAGTTTATTTTCTTTGCGGTTATGTCATGGTAAAAGCAGTGAGAACAAAGATCAGCAAAGTAAGGCGACGTTCACAGAACGCCTGTCACCCGACAAAATATAGTTGGACACTGAAAAAAAGCATGTTATGACAACGGTTGGGTTAAGGGGAGCAAAAAATCATCAAGAGGTATTGGGTGCGCAAAGTAAACATACACATGTATAGACTCGATCAAACAGAGTCTGCAATTTTTCATGTAATTGTGTTGTGATTAATGCTTCCAAGGGATCACCCTTTTCTGTAAATTGCATAAAAAATGTTCTCTCAATGATGTACGTGTCTAATAAACGTATTTATCATAAACCTACAGCCATTTATTTGCAGCAGTTTTAAAATCACAAATAGAAATGCATTTGCTAACTGTACTTTGTCTGGTGTTTTATGAAAAAAAGATTTAAGCTTAGTTATCTAACAAGCATATATTTTATTCATTAAATATTTTTAAATCAACCATGTATTTTTTAGTGATTTGCATCCGTATTCAATTAATACCAGAGAGAATTATATAGAAGTTGCTATTTTAAATAATCGTTGTGATATCTAAGTTGATTTGAAATTGCCATAATTGCATCAATTATATTAGATATGATCAATCAATTCCTGTCTCATCGTGATCTGAATAATGAGTTTTAGCTTATGCTAGGATTAAGCGGACACAAAAGATTGAAATCATTTGCGTTTATTGTAAATTTTGACAGATTTTGGTCACATGTTCGTGCATGCCAAATTCTATGGAAAATAAAAAACATGTAAAATTGGCAAAGATTTAAAAGATGAACACGTAACAGAAAGTAGAGTCTAAGTCCAATTTTCTAAATTCGAAATTATACCATAACATGTGTAAATGTTGAATACTGCTTTAGCTGGTGTTGTTCATGGGCTGCAACTTGCAAAAACAACGTTGTATTGCATTATAAGGCCTCCGATCTAAAGTACATGCATCAAAATGGCATCAAATGTAACGTCGTTATTTTTTAATCAATATTATGTCATATTTATTAAATAGAAATAGAGGATATGTATTTGGTTTGCAGTTAAGATCAAACTATATTTCACTGAGCAACACAAGATGGTATTTTTTAGAGTGGCGTAGCTGGTGTTCATGAGTTAAATTTATTTTAATCTTACATGCAAAACAAATTGTATATTTTATTTCATGCCTTTTTAGTGATTTTAAGACATTTTTACTTGTTTTTCGTTCTTTTTCATGACGTCATCACATCATGACGCCATTGTACCAATGTTGAAATTTAGTTAGAACTGTAAATTTCTCGAACTTTGTTAATTTTTAACATAACATATGCAGTTATTTACTTGCTGTCTCCTACAGAATTAAATTTACATACGACGGAATTTATTTCTGTTGATAATTCCATTTAGTTATAAAATATATTTTCATCCGCATTAAAATATAGTCTGGCTACTGTGAAAATTATCAAACATAACTTCACTTTCCACTGCAAAGCATGTAATAAAATGTACTTAGATATCTATCGTTTTATAAGTTTGATTATGGGCAGAGATATACGTGTACCAATATCATTAATGTATAATTTATGATACACAATATATATGAAAGTTCAATGTAGTAGTTTCAAACTCAAATGAATGCCAGTTTTAATTAGATGAAATCTTCAAACTAAAATCTTGTTTATTGCCAAAATGCTGTCAATTTTACTATCACTCATAATACGGATTAATAACTTATTTGCTACTGGAGAAGCTAACCATTTTGTTTTAAGATAAATTTTAGATATTAGACAATTAGTAAAACCTATAATCTCTATCAATAGCTTAGTGTCTTCTCTTCTCTATCATGAGTGGCTTAAATTAGCCATTTATAAATAAGATGTTGGCGTTGTAAGGTACTACTCTGGATTAATAGCACTTTTATAAAGTATGTAGCGCAAGGAATTTGAAGTTCTCGATCTCATTAAAACTAAAACTATTTTAGTAAACACAATCCCTTAATCTCTATGAAAATGTTTCTTTTTTCATTAACATCATGAAAAGGCTTTATCAAACAAAGCTTGTAACATTTTCAATATGGTCGATTTTTTTTCGTTCTGTAGGGATTCTGTTATTTACTTATTTCTATTTTTCTTTATCACTTCAGTTTTGTTTCCCTGAGAGTGTAGCAACACCTTTTAGTGTAATACAATAATACCAAAGAAAACGGACCAAATACAAAAAGGAATAGACAAACACTATATGTAAAATGCAAACCAATTTATTTTTATATTTCAAACATTTATATGGTACAATTAAGGAGCAAAACTGTGCCTATGGAATATTAATATTTTATCTTGTTAAGATGATAAAAATATATAACAGTGTTTTATAATTATAATTATACTCATCTTCACGTCAAGAGAATCAAAATAATAATAGCAATTTCTTATAATGTCTTTTTGACACTTTTAGAGCTAATTAACAATATTTTGAAGTATTATTAAATATCTTGTAAAATATAAAATTTGACGATATTTGTAGCTATACATTTTGTTAAAAAACAAACAAACAAAAACAAAACAAAACAGATGTCTCAACGTACCAGTACTAAAATTTAATACTTAAAAATGCCTATTTAAAATGTATAAAGGGTCTTAAAAAAGAGAAATTAAAACAGATATTCTTCCTATAGAACGTCCAAAACTTAAAAATTAATAATGTGGCAGGCTTAATTGTCGTTATCGGTAAGAATTTCCTTTTCATATATTAATAGTACACACCTGAACAATCTTAATTTCTATGCACTGCATCACTCTTATATATATTATATACTCACACATTTAAGGTTTAACGTTGATGTCTACAAACCTTAAGAGTCATGGTGTATACAATATTCACAATAAACGTAATAGCAAAATGGAATAACTCAGAGACTGTAAAGTGAA